CTGGCCTGGCCTGGCCTGGCCTGGCCTGGCCTGGCCTGGCCTGGCCTGGCCTGGCCCTGGCCTGGCCTGGCCTGGCCTGGCCTGGCCTGGCCTGGCCTGGCCTGGCCTGGCCTGGCCTGGCCTGGCCTGGCCTGGCCTGGCCTGGCCTGGCCTGGCCTGGCCTGGCCTGGCCTGGCCTGGCCTGGCCTGGCCTGGCCTGGCCTGGCCTGGCCTGGCCTGGCCTGGCCTGGCCTGGCCTGGCCTGGCCTGGCCTGGCCTGGCCTGGCCTGGCCTGGCCTGGCCTGGCCTGGCCTGGCCTGGCCTGGCCTGGCCTGGCCTGGCCTGGCCTGGCCTGGCCTGGCCTGGCCTGGCCTGGCCTGGCCTGGCCTGGCCTGGCCTGGCCTGGCCTGGCCTGGCCTGGCCTGGCCTGGCCCTGGCCTGGCCTGGCCTGGCCTGGCCTGGCCTGGCCTGGCCTGGCCTGGCCTGGCCTGGCCTGGCCTGGCCTGGCCTGGCCTGGCCTGGCCTGGCCTGGCCTGGCCTGGCCTGGCCTGGCCTGGCCTGGCCTGGCCTGGCCTGGCCTGGCCTGGCCTGGCCTGGCCTGGCCTGGCCTGGCCTGGCCTGGCCTGGCCTGGCCTGGCCTGGCCTGGCCTGGCCTGGCCTGGCCTGGCCTGGCCTGGCCTGGCCTGGCCTGGCCTGGCCTGGCCCTGGCCTGGCCTGGCCTGGCCCTGGCCTGGCCTGGCCTGGCCTGGCCTGGCCTGGCCTGGCCTGGCCTGGCCTGGCCTGGCCTGGCCTGGCCTGGCCTGGCCTGGCCTGGCCTGGCCTGGCCTGGCCTGGCCTGGCCTGGCCCTGGCCTGGCCTGGCCCTGGCCTGGCCCCCCTGGCCCTAACCCTGGCTCCACTAACCCTAACCATAGCTCCAGCCCTAACCCTAACCCCTTGCCCAAAGTCTCACCCTAACCCTAACCGTCGGACATGTGCAGCGCCACCTCTGGTCAAAAGCGGTAGGACACCCCTTTTGCAAAGTCGCCCTCAAATGACAGGAAATGGCCTGAAACGTGCTCACAATGCATTTTCAACATTTCCAGACAAGTACAACACTTGCAAACACTGACTTTGGCCATTTTCCGCTCCCATTCATTTTCAATGGGAAATTTTCACTTCGCCATAACTTTTGATAGGAATGTCCGATCGCTGGTTCATTACTATTTCTAGATTCAGCATACCCGAAAATGGGGGGGTAGACCAAATCTCAGCCCGGTTCATCGATGGGAAAGGCAATGAACCGCCATGTCAAAAGTGGCACATATCCCTATATCCTGCCCCAAAGCTCCAACCCCCGAAAACTTCACCCAGAATCAGGTTCTATGGACTCCCCGTGGCCTGAAACGTGCTCCTAACACAATTCTGGAAGGTGAAAAATTGGGTCCGCACTTAGGAAAATCTTCAGATTTTGGGAAAATCTTCACATTTTCCTAACCCTAACCCTAACCCTAGCTCCAACCCTAACCCTAACCCTAGCTCCAACCCTAGCTCCACAACTAACCCTAACCATAGCTCCAGCCCTAACCCTAACCCCTTGCCCAAAGTCTCACCCTAACCCTAACCGTCGGACATGTGCAGCGCCACCTCTGGTCAAAAGCGGTAGGACACCCCTTTTTGCAAAGTCGCCCTCAAATGACAGGAAATGGCCTGAAACGTGCTCACAATGCATTTTCAACATTTCCAGACAAGTACAACACTTGCAAACACTGACTTTGGCCATTTTTCCGCTCCCATTCATTTTCAATGGGAAATTTTCACTTCGCCATAACTTTTGATAGGAATGTCCGATCGCTGGTTCATTACTATTTCTAGATTCAGCATACCCGAAAATGGGGGGGTAGACCAAATCTCAGCCCGGTTCATCGATGGGAAAGGCAATGAACCGCCATGTCAAAAGTGGCACATATCCCTATATCCTAACCCTAACCCTAACCCTAACCCTAACCTCCTAACCCTGGCCTAACCTAACCCTAACCCTAACCCTGGCCCTAACCCTAACCCTAACCCTAACCCTGGCCCTAACCCTGGCCCTAACCTGGCCTGGCCCTAACCCTGGCCCTGGCCCTGGCCCTGGCCCTAACCTAACCCTGGCCTGGCCTGGCCCTGGCCTGGCCTGGCCCTGGCCTGGCCTGGCCCTGGCCTGGCCTGGCCTGGCCTGGCCTGGCCTGGCCTGGCCTGGCCTGGCCTGGCCTGGCCTGGCCTGGCCTGGCCTGGCCTGGCCCTGGCCCTGGCCCTGGCCCTGGCCTGGCCTGGCCTGGCCTGGCCTGGCCTGGCCTGGCCTGGCCTGGCCTGGCCTGGCCTGGCCTGGCCTGGCCTGGCCTGGCCTGGCCTGGCCTGGCCTGGCCTGGCCTGGCCTGGCCTGGCCTGGCCTGGCCTGGCCTGGCCTGGCCTGGCCTGGCCTGGCCTGGCCTGGCCTGGCCTGGCCTGGCCTGGCCTGGCCTGGCCTGGCCTGGCCTGGCCTGGCCTGGCCTGGCCTGGCCTGGCCTGGCCTGGCCTGGCCTGGCCTGGCCTGGCCTGGCCTGGCCTGGCCTGGCCTGGCCTGGCCTGGCCTGGCCTGGCCTGGCCTGGCCTGGCCTGGCCTGGCCTGGCCTGGCCCTGGCCTGGCCTGGCCTGGCCTGGCCTGGCCTGGCCTGGCCTGGCCTGGCCTGGCCTGGCCTGGCCTGGCCTGGCCTGGCCTGGCCTGGCCTGGCCTGGCCCTGGCCTGGCCTGGCCTGGCCTGGCCTGGCCTGGCCTGGCCTGGCCTGGCCTGGCCCTGGCCCTGGCCTGGCCTGGCCTGGCCTGGCCTGGCCTGGCCTGGCCTGGCCCTGGCCTGGCCTGGGCCCTGGCCTGGCCTGGCCTGGCCTGGCCTGGCCTGGCCCTGGCCTGGCCTGGCCTGGCCTGGCCTGGCCTGGCCCTGGCCTGGCCTGGCCTGGCCCTGGCCTGGCCTGGCCTGGCCTGGCCTGGCCTGGCCTGGCCTGGCCTGGCCTGGCCTGGCCTGGCCTGGCCTGGCCTGGCCTGGGCCTGGCCTGGCCTGGCCTGGCCTGGCCTGGCCTGGCCTGGCCTGGCCTGGCCTGGCCTGGCCTGGCCTGGCCTGGCCTGGCCTGGCCTGGCCTGGCCTGGCCTGGCCTGGCCTGGCCTGGCCTGGGCCTGGCCCTGGCCTGGCCTGGCCTGGCCTGGCCTGGCCTGGCCTGGCCTGGCCTGGCCTGGCCCTGGCCTGGCCTGGCCTGGCCTGGCCTGGCCTGGCCTGGGCCTGGCCTGGCCTGGCCTGGCCTGGCCTGGCCTGGCCTGGCCTGGCCTGGCCTGGCCTGGCCTGGCCTGGCCTGGCCCTGGCCTGGGCCTGGCCTGGCCTGGCCTGGCCTGGCCTGGCCTGGCCTGGCCTGGCCTGGCCTGGCCTTGGCCTGGCCTGGCCTGGCCTGGCCTGGCCTGGCCTGGCCTGGCCTGGCCTGGCCTGGCCTGGCCTGGCCTGGCCTGGCCTGGCCTGGCCCTGGCCTGGCCTGGCCTGGCCTGGCCTGGCCTGGCCTGGCCTGGCCTGGCCTGGCCTGGCCTGGCCTGGCCTGGCCTGGCCTGGCCTGGCCTGGCCTGGCCCATGGCCTGGCCTGGCCTGGCCTGGCCTGGCCTGGCCTGGCCTGGCCTGGCCTGGCCTGGCCTGGCCTGGCCCTGGCCTGGCCTGGCCTGGCCCTGGCCTGGCCTGGCCTGGCCTGGCCTGGCCTGGCCTGGCCTGGCCCTGGCCTGGCCTGGCCTGGCCTGGCCTGGCCTGGCCTGGCCTGGCCTGGCCTGGCCTGGCCTGGCCTGGCCTGGCCTGGCCTGGCCTGGCCTGGCCTGGCCCTGGCCTGGCCTGGCCTGGCCTGGCCTGGCCTGGCCTGGCCCTGGCCTGGCCTGGCCTGGCCTGGCCTGGCCTGGCCTGGCCTGGCCTGGCCTGGCCTGGCCTGGCCTGGCCTGGCCTGGCCTGGCCTGGCCTGGCCCTGGCCTGGCCTGGCCTGGCCTGGCCTGGCCTGGCCTGGCCTGGCCTGGCCTGGCCTGGCCTGGCCTGGCCTGGCCTGGCCTGGCCTGGCCTGGCCTGGCCTGGCCTGGCCTGGCCTGGCCTGGCCTGGCCTGGCCTGGCCTGGCCTGGCCTGGCCTGGCCTGGCCTGGCCTGGCCTGGCCTGGCCTGGCCTGGCCTGGCCTGGCCTGGCCTGGCCTGGCCTGGCCTGGCCTGGCCTGGCCTGGCCTGGCCTGGCCTGGCCCTGGCCTGGCCTGGCCTGGCCTGGCCTGGCCTGGCCTGGCCTGGCCTGGCCTGGCCTGGCCTGGCCTGGCCTGGCCTGGCCTGGCCTGGCCTGGCCTGGCCTGGCCTGGCCTGGCCTGGCCTGGCCTGGCCCTGGCCTGGCCTGGCCTGGCCTGGCCCTGGCCTGGCTCCAGCCCTAGCTCCACAGCTAACCCTAACCATAGCTCCAGCCCTAACCCTAACCCCTTGCCCAAAGTCTCACCCTAACCCTAACCGTCGGACATGTGCAGCGCCACCTCTGGTCAAAAGCGGTATGACACCCCTTTTGCAAAGTCGCCCTCAAATGACAGGAAATGGCCTGAAACGTGCTCACAATGCATTTTCAACAGTTCCAGACAAGTACAACACTTGCAAACACTGACTTTGGCCATTTTTCCGCTCCCATTCATTTTCAATGGGAAATTTTCACTTCGCCATAACTTTTGATAGGAATGTCCGATCGCTGGTTCATTACTATTTCTAGATTCAGCATACCCGAAAATGGGGGGGTAGACCAAATCTCAGCCCGGTTCATCGATGGGAAAGGCAATGAACCGGCATGTCAAAAGTGGCACATATCCCTATATCCTGCCCCAAAGCTCCAACCCCCGAAAACTTCACCCAGAATCAGGTTCTATGGACTCCCCGTGGCCTGAAACGTGCTCCTAACACAATTCTGGAAGGTGAAAAATTGGGTCCGCACTTAGGAAAATCTTCAGATTTTGGGAAAATCTTCACATTTTCCTAACCCTAACCCTAACCCTAGCTCCAACCCTAACCCTAACCCTAGCTCCAACCCTAACCCTAACCCTAGCTCCACAACTAACCCTAACCATAGCTCCAGCCCTAACCCTAACCCCTTGCCCAAAGTCTCACCCTAACCCTAACCGTCGGACATGTGCAGCGCCACCTCTGGTCAAAAGCGGTATGACACCCCTTTTGCAAAGTCGCCCTCAAATGACAGGAAATGGCCTGAAACGTGCTCACAATGCATTTTCAACAGTTCCAGACAAGTACAACACTTGCAAACACTGACTTTGGCCATTTTCCGCTCCCATTCATTTTCAATGGGAAATTTTCACTTCGCCATAACTTTTGATAGGAATGTCCGATCGCTGGTTCATTACTATTTCTAGATTCAGCATACCCGAAAATGGGGGGTAGACCAAATCTCAGCCCGGTTCATCGATGGGAAAGGCAATGAACCGGCATGTCAAAAGTGGCACATATCCCTATATCCTGCCCCAAAGCTCCAACCCCCGAAAACTTCACCCAGAATCAGGTTCTATGGACTCCCCGTGGCCTGAAACGTGCTCCTAACACAATTCTGGAAGGTGAAAAATTGGGTCCGCACTTAGGAAAATCTTCAGATTTTGGGAAAATCTTCACATTTTCCTAACCCTAACCCTAACCCTAGCTCCAACCCTAACCCTAACCCTAGCTCCAACCCTAACCCTAACCCTAGCTCCACAACTAACCCTAACCATAGCTCCAGCCCTAACCCTAACCCCTTGCCCAAAGTCTCACCCTAACCCTAACCGTCGGACATGTGCAGCGCCACCTCTGGTCAAAAGCGGTATGACACCCCTTTTGCAAAGTCGCCCTCAAATGACAGGAAATGGCCTGAAACGTGCTCACAATGCATTTTCAACATTCCAGACAAGTACAACACTTGCAAACACTGACTTTGGCCATTTTTCCGCTCCCATTCATTTTCAATGGGAAATTTTCACTTCGCCATAACTTTTGATAGGAATGTCCGATCGCTGGTTCATTACTATTTCTAGATTCAGCATACCCGAAAATGGGGGGGTAGACCAAATCTCAGCCCGGTTCATCATTGGGAAAGGCAATGAACCGGCATGTCAAAAGTGGCACATATCCCTATATCCTGCCCCAAAGCTCCAACCCCCGAAAACTTCACCCAGAATCAGGTTCTATGGACTCCCCGTGGCCTGAAACGTGCTCCTAACACAATTCTGGAAGGTGAAAAATTGGGTCCGCACTTAGGAAAATCTTCAGATTTTGGGAAAATCTTCACATTTTCCTAACCCTAACCCTAACCCTAGCTCCAACCCTAACCCTAACCCTAGCTCCAACCTAACCCTAACCTAGCTCCACAACTAACCCTAACCATAGCTCCAGCCCTAACCCTAACCCCTTGCCCAAAGTCTCACCCTAACCCTAACCGTCGGACATGTGCAGCGCCACCTCTGGTCAAAAGCGGTATGACACCCCTTTTTGCAAAGTCGCCCTCAAATGACAGGAAATGGCCTGAAACGTGCTCACAATGCATTTTCAACATTTCCAGACAAGTACAACACTTGCAAACACTGACTTTGGCCATTTTTCCGCTCCCATTCATTTTCAATGGGAAATTTTCACTTCGCCATAACTTTTGATAGGAATGTCCGATCGCTGGTTCATTACTATTTCTAGATTCAGCATACCCGAAAATGGGGGGGTAGACCAAATCTCAGCCCGGTTCATCGATGGGAAAGGCAATGAACCGGCATGTCAAAAGTGGCACATATCCCTATATCCTGCCCCAAAGCTCCAACCCCCGAAAACTTCACCCAGAATCAGGTTCTATGGACTCCCCGTGGCCTGAAACGTGCTCCTAACACAATTCTGGAAGGTGAAAAATTGGGTCCGCACTTAGGAAAATCTTCAGATTTTGGGAAAATCTTCACATTTTCCTAACCCTAACCCTAACCCTAGCTCCAACCCTAACCCTAACCCTAGCTCCAACCCCCTAGCTCCACAACTAACCCTAACCATAGCTCCAGCCCTAACCCTAACCCCTTGCCCAAAGTCTCACCCTAACCCTAACCGTCGGACATGTGCAGCGCCACCTCTGGTCAAAAGCGGTAGGACACCCCTTTTGCAAAGTCGCCCTCAAATGACAGGAAATGGCCTGAAACGTGCTCACAATGCATTTTCAACATTTCCAGACAAGTACAACACTTGCAAACACTGACTTTGGCCATTTTTCCGCTCCCATTCATTTTCAATGGGAAATTTTCACTTCGCCATAACTTTTGATAGGAATGTCCGATCGCTGGTTCATTACTATTTCTAGATTCAGCATACCCGAAAATGGGGGGGTAGACCAAATCTCAGCCCGGTTCATCGATGGGAAAGGCAATGAACCGCCATGTCAAAAGTGGCACATATCCCTATATCCTAACCCTAACCCTAACCCCTAACCCTAACCCTAACCCTAACCCTAACCCTAACCCCTAACCCTAACCCTAACCCTAACCCTAACCCTAACCCTAACCCTAACCCTAACCCTAACCCTAACCCTAACCCTAACCCTAACCCTAACCCTAACCCTAACCCTAACCCTAACCCTAACCCTAACCCTAACCCTAACCCTAACCCTAACCCTAACCCTAACCCTAACCCTAACCCTAACCCTAACCCTAACCCTAACCCTAACCCTAACCCTAACCCTAACCCTAACCCTAACCCTAACCCTAACCCTAACCCTAACCCTAACCCTAACCCTAACCCTAACCCTAACCCTAACCCTAACCCTAACCCTAACCCTAACCCTAACCCTAACCCTAACCCTAACCCTAACCCTAACCTAACCCTAACCCTAACCCTAACCCTAACCCTAACCCTAACCCTAACCCTAACCCTAACCCTAACCCTAACCCCTAACCCTAACCCTAACCCTAACCCTAACCCTAACCCTAACCCTAACCCTAACCCTAACCCTAACCCTAGCTCCAACCCTAGCTCCACAACTAACCCTAACCATAGCTCCAGCCCTAACCCTAACCCCTTGCCCAAAGTCTCACCCTAACCCTAACCGTCGGACATGTGCAGCGCCACCTCTGGTCAAAAGCGGTAGGACACCCCTTTTGCAAAGTCGCCCTCAAATGACAGGAAATGGCCTGAAACGTGCTCACAATGCATTTTCAACATTTCCAGACAAGTACAACACTTGCAAACACTGACTTTGGCCATTTTCCGCTCCCATTCATTTTCAATGGGAAATTTTCACTTCGCCATAACTTTTGATAGGAATGTCCGATCGCTGGTTCATTACTATTTCTAGATTCAGCATACCCGAAAATGGGGGGGTAGACCAAATCTCAGCCCGGTTCATCGATGGGAAAGGCAATGAACCGCCATGTCAAAAGTGGCACATATCCCTATATCCTGCCCCAAAGCTCCAACCCCCGAAAACTTCACCCAGAATCAGGTTCTATGGACTCCCCGTGGCCTGAAACGTGCTCCTAACACAATTCTGGAAGGTGAAAAATTGGGTCCGCACTTAGGAAAATCTTCAGATTTTGGGAAAATCTTCACATTTTCCTAACCCTAACCCTAACCCTAGCTCCAACCCTAACCCTAACCCTAGCTCCAACCCTAGCTCCACAACTAACCCTAACCATAGCTCCAGCCCTAACCCTAACCCCTTGCCCAAAGTCTCACCCTAACCCTAACCGTCGGACATGTGCAGCGCCACCTCTGGTCAAAAGCGGTAGGACACCCCTTTTGCAAAGTCGCCCTCAAATGACAGGAAATGGCCTGAAACGTGCTCACAATGCATTTTCAACATTTCCAGACAAGTAGAACACTTGCAAACACTGACTTTGGCCATTTTTCCGCTCCCATTCATTTTCAATGGGAAATTTTCACTTCGCCATAACTTTTGATAGGAATGTCCGATCGCTGGTTCATTACTATTTCTAGATTCAGCATACCCGAAAATGGGGGGTAGACCAAATCTCAGCCCGGTTCATCATTGGGAAAGGCAATGAACCGGCATGTCAAAAGTGGCACATATCCCTATATCCTGCCCCAAAGCTCCAACCCCCGAAAACTTCACCCAGAATCAGGTTCTATGGACTCCCCGTGGCCTGAAACGTGCTCCTAACACAATTCTGGAAGGTGAAAAATTGGGTCCGCACTTAGGAAAATCTTCAGATTTTGGGAAAATCTTCACATTTTCCTAACCCTAACCCTAACCCTAGCTCCAACCCTAACCCTAACCCTAGCTCCAACCCTAGCTCCACAACTAACCCTAACCATAGCTCCAGCCCTAACCCTAACCCCTTGCCCAAAGTCTCACCCTAACCCTAACCGTCGGACATGTGCAGCGCCACCTCTGGTCAAAAGCGGTAGGACACCCCTTTTTGCAAAGTCGCCCTCAAATGACAGGAAATGGCCTGAAACGTGCTCACAATGCATTTTCAACATTTCCAGACAAGTACAACACTTGCAAACACTGACTTTGGCCATTTTTCCGCTCCCATTCATTTTCAATGGGAAATTTTCACTTCGCCATAACTTTTGATAGGAATGTCCGATCGCTGGTTCATTACTATTTCTAGATTCAGCATACCCGAAAATGGGGGGGTAGACCAAATCTCAGCCCGGTTCATCGATGGGAAAGGCAATGAACCGGCATGTCAAAAGTGGCACATATCCCTATATCCTGCCGCAAAGCTCCAACCCCCGAAAACTTCACCCAGAATCAGGTTCTATGGACTCCCCGTGGCCTGAAACGTGCTCCTAACACAATTCTGGAAGGTGAAAAATTGGGTCCGCACTTAGGAAAATCTTCAGATTTTGGGAAAATCTTCACATTTTCCTAACCCTAACCCTAACCCTAGCTCCAACCCTAACCCTAACCCTAGCTCCAACCCTAGCTCCACAACTAACCCTAACCATAGCTCCAGCCCTAACCCTAACCCCTTGCCCAAAGTCTCACCCTAACCCTAACCGTCGGACATGTGCAGCGCCACCTCTGGTCAAAAGCGGTAGGACACCCCTTTTTGCAAAGTCGCCCTCAAATGACAGGAAATGGCCTGAAACGTGCTCACAATGCATTTTCAACATTTCCAGACAAGTAGAACACTTGCAAACACTGACTTTGGCCATTTTTCCGCTCCCATTCATTTTCAATGGGAAATTTTCACTTCGCCATAACTTTTGATAGGAATGTCCGATCGCTGGTTCATTACTATTTCTAGATTCAGCATACCCGAAAATGGGGGGGTAGACCAAATCTCAGCCCGGTTCATCGATGGGAAAGGCAATGAACCGCCATGTCAAAAGTGGCACATATCCCTATATCCTAACCCTAACCCTAACCCCTAACCCTAACCCTAACCCTAACCCTAACCCTAACCCCTAACCCTAACCCTAACCCTAACCCTAACCCCTAACCCTAACCCTAACCCTAACCCTAACCCTAACCCCTAACCCTAACCCTAACCCTAACCCTAACCCTAACCCCTAACCCCTAACCCTAACCCTAACCCTAACCCTAACCCTAACCCCTAACCCTAACCCTAACCCTAACCCTAACCCTAACCCTAACCCTAACCCTAACCCTAACCCTAACCCTAACCCTAACCCTAACCCTAACCCCTAACCCTAACCCTAACCCTAACCCTAACCCTAACCCTAACCCTAACCCTAACCCTAACCCTAACCCTAACCCTAACCCTAACCCTAACCCTAACCCTAACCCCCTAACCCTAACCCTAACCCTAACCCTAACCCTAACCCTAACCCCTAACCCTAACCCTAACCCTAACCCTAACCCTAACCCTAACCCTAACCCTAACCCCTAACCCTAACCCTAACCCTAACCCTAACCCTAACCCTAACCCTAACCCTAACCCTAACCCTAACCCTAGCTCCAACCCTAGCTCCACAACTAACCCTAACCATAGCTCCAGCCCTAACCCTAACCCCTTGCCCAAAGTCTCACCCTAACCCTAACCGTCGGACATGTGCAGCGCCACCTCTGGTCAAAAGCGGTAGGACACCCCTTTTTGCAAAGTCGCCCTCAAATGACAGGAAATGGCCTGAAACGTGCTCACAATGCATTTTCAACATTTCCAGACAAGTAGAACACTTGCAAACACTGACTTTGGCCATTTTTCCGCTCCCATTCATTTTCAATGGGAAATTTTCACTTCGCCATAACTTTTGATAGGAATGTCCGATCGCTGGTTCATTACTATTTCTAGATTCAGCATACCCGAAAATGGGGGGTAGACCAAATCTCAGCCCGGTTCATCGATGGGAAAGGCAATGAACCGGCATGTCAAAAGTGGCACATATCCCTATATCCTGCCCCAAAGCTCCAACCCCCGAAAACTTCACCCAGAATCAGGTTCTATGGACTCCCCGTGGCCTGAAACGTGCTCCTAACACAATTCTGGAAGGTGAAAAATTGGGTCCGCACTTAGGAAAATCTTCAGATTTTGGGAAAATCTTCACATTTTCCTAACCCTAACCCTAACCCTAGCTCCAACCCTAACCCTAACCCTAGCTCCAACCCTAGCTCCACAACTAACCCTAACCATAGCTCCAGCCCTAACCCTAACCCCTTGCCCAAAGTCTCACCCTAACCCTAACCGTCGGACATGTGCAGCGCCACCTCTGGTCAAAAGCGGTAGGACACCCCTTTTGCAAAGTCGCCCTCAAATGACAGGAAATGGCCTGAAACGTGCTCACAATGCATTTTCAACATTTCCAGACAAGTACAACACTTGCAAACACTGACTTTGGCCATTTTTCCGCTCCCATTCATTTTCAATGGGAAATTTTCACTTCGCCATAACTTTTGATAGGAATGTCCGATCGCTGGTTCATTACTATTTCTAGATTCAGCATACCCGAAAATGGGGGGGTAGACCAAATCTCAGCCCGGTTCATCGATGGGAAAGGCAATGAACCGCCATGTCAAAAGTGGCACATATCCCTATATCCTGCCCCAAAGCTCCAACCCCCGAAAACTTCACCCAGAATCAGGTTCTATGGACTCCCCGTGGCCTGAAACGTGCTCCTAACACAATTCTGGAAGGTGAAAAATTGGGTCCGCACTTAGGAAAATCTTCAGATTTTGGGAAAATCTTCACATTTTCCTAACCCTAACCCTAACCCTAGCTCCAACCCTAACCCTAACCCTAGCTCCAACCCTAGCTCCACAACTAACCCTAACCATAGCTCCAGCCCTAACCCTAACCCCTTGCCCAAAGTCTCACCCTAACCCTAACCGTCGGACATGTGCAGCGCCACCTCTGGTCAAAAGCGGTAGGACACCCCTTTTGCAAAGTCGCCCTCAAATGACAGGAAATGGCCTGAAACGTGCTCACAATGCATTTTCAACATTTCCAGACAAGTACAACACTTGCAAACACTGACTTTGGCCATTTTTCCGCTCCCATTCATTTTCAATGGGAAATTTTCACTTCGCCATAACTTTTGATAGGAATGTCCGA